ACTGGACTTATGTGTTCCTGGTTCCTGGTTTTGAACTGGAGTGATGTAGTTCTGGTTCCTGGTTCTGAACTGGACTTATGTGTTCCTGGCTCCTGGTTCTGAACTGGACTGATGTGGTCCTGGTTCCTGGTTCTGAACTGTGTTCTTCTCTTTAAGGCATCCCAAGCGTGGCGCAAAAACAAGATGGACGAGTCGAAGCACGAGATCCATTCTCAGGTGGACGCCATCACAGCAGGCACCGCCTCCATGGTCAACCTGACCGCAGGTACAGGGGCGGCTTTCATTTATTTATTTATTCATTTATTTATTTTATTGTCACGGTGAGAAGCCTCCCTTGATCATCCAATGCTGCTTTATTATTTATTTGAGATTTATTTTTGATCCAGAAGTAAGATGGTTAATGCCAAACCTGACAGGGGGGACAGGAAAAGAGAAAAAAAGGAGAAAAAAATCAAATTTAAAAAAAGGAAGAGAGAATAGAGAGAAGTTAACAATAACTTGTGGCGAAAAAGAAAGGAAGAGACAAAAAAATAGCAGCAAAAACCAAAGGCAGCTACCACACTGGTAGTAACGACAAACAGGAAGTATGCCTACAGGCATTCTCACTATTGTTTTCCTGTTTCTCTTTTTCTGCGTCTAACTACGTTAGTTTTCTGCCTATTTCAACAAATATGGTATCAAAATGTTCAGCTCTGACTTTTGGTGTTCAAATCTTTTAAACTTTTTAAGCTATTTAACTTTTTCTGCTTTTATTTTCTGTAATTGAAATGAATGTCCAATGTCTGGCTCCCTCTGCTGGTCACTGGCATTTCAGCCCCTTCACATTTTTCCCATGAATCAATGGTGGAGCGTTTGACGAAAGTTTGAGAAGTCGCCGGTTCAAATCCCATTAAAATCGTCCACTCTCCAGTTCTATGTGTTCTTCAGCTTTTCTTTGTCTTCTTCCGGTTCCTCCCTTCAGTCTTTCTTCTTCTACCCTTTTGTCTTCTTCTACTCTTCAGTTCTATGTCTTTTTGAGCTTTCCCTCTGGTTCTTCCCTTCAGGATTTCTTGTTCCACTCTTCAGTTCTATGTCTTTTCAGCTTTTCTTCTTCTTTTTTTCTCAGGGGACCCAGCAGAGACGGACTACACAGCCGTGGGCTGTGCCGTCACCACCATCTCCTCCAACCTGACCGAGATGTCGAAGGGGGTCAAGCTGCTGGCCGCCCTGATGGAGGACGAGGGGGGGAATGGTCAGCAGCTGCTGGGGGCTGCCAAGAACCTGGCCTGTGCCGTGTCCGACATGCTGAAGACGGCTCAGCCCGCCAACACGGAGCCGCGGCAGAACCTGCTGCAGGCGGCCGGGAACGTGGGCCAGGCCAGCGGGGAGCTGCTGTCCCACATCGGGGAGACGGACACCGACCCCCAGTTCCAGGTGAGGCCGGCTTAGCTCTGCTCACCTGGCTGGTGCAGCTACTTGTTTTTCTGTGTAGCTGAGAAACGAGATGTTTTTTGATGGATTTATCCTTCCAAAAGGGAGAGGCTCTTCATTTGCCATGTCTGAGCTGTCACTCTTGGGAAAAGGAAAGGCCTTCTCTCTGCATTTAGCTGCTTCTAAAAACCCCTGTGCTGTCTTCCCTCTGTTTGACGTGTGTGTTTGACAGCTTGGAGGTAAAGGATCTTTCAGGGGTGCAAGATGGAGAGTCCCCTCTTATAGTCAAATGCTGGTAACTAATGTGAAAACGCTCAATTCTGGGAGCTCAATCAAAAGTACCTCAGCCTAAGATGGGTCAAATGAAGGTAATTCCCTCTGCCTGTGGACACTCGGACGGAGGGAATTGTGAGGTCTATTATTAGTCTTCAAATGAACAAATCATCTCACATGAGGAGGCATTGATCAGGATTTGTGAGGGTTGATTCTGATTACTGATCTGGCACAAACATAGAAGCGCATTTCCACTGATTTGATCAAATCTCCTGATCCACCTTCTTCATGAGAACAAATCAAATGATCTAGATTGAGTATTGGTGGTAATAAGTGGTTGATTCAATTTTAGTCTTGCACTGGGGATAATTCTTCTTATGTCTTTGCAAATGTCACTTTTTTTTATGCTCGTATCACTGACGACGGTGTTGTTTGCTGCCGGTAGGACATGTTGATGCAGCTAGCCAAAGCCGTGGCCAATGCTGCTGCAGCGCTGGTGCTCAAGGCCAAGAACGTGGCCCAGAAGTCGGAGGACTCGGCCCAGCAGAACCGGGTGATCGCAGCAGCCACCCAGTGCGCTCTGTCCACCTCCCAGCTGGTCGCCTGCACAAGGGTGAGTCTCTGTCTGGGGGGGGGGGGGGGGGGTATTTACTCTGATAACAACTAGCCATCTGAATTAGGGGAGTCTGAATAACACACACTGGTTGGTAAAGAGACACTGACCTGTTTATTCAGGGAGAAACACAAAATAGGATCAAATAATAAATAACAAACAGAAATGGCATCATTGAACAGTAAAAAGTGACAATAATATTGTAAACTGTGTTAAAAAGGCAAAACACACAAACAACCTGAATAGAAAATAGTCTGTTAACTTTTAATCGGTGTGCTGGAAAACACGGGTCAGACTTTAAAAAAAAAAAGGATCTGGAGTCTGGATCTGCCAGCCGATATGCATTTTTTTGCTAATATTAGCAGCTGATTGGATCCAGATATAGGATTGGGACCGGCCTAATGTGGATATGCCTCCTAAAGGTGGCCTCTGATTGTTCTTTCCTCCCAAAACAAAAGGTGGTGGCTCCGACCATCAGCTCCCCGGTGTGTCAGGAGCAGCTCATAGAAGCCGGCAAGCTGGTGGCCAAGTCGGTGGAGGGCTGCGTGGAGGCGTCCCAGTTCGCCACCCAGGACGAGGGCCTCCTCAAACAGGTGGGGCTGGCGGCCACCGGCGTCACGCACGCCCTCAACGAGCTGCTGCAGCACATCAAGCAGTACGCCAGCGGGGGGCACCCCATCGGGCGCCACGGCGAGGCCACCGACCGGATCCTGGACGTCACCGAGAACATCTTTAGCTCGATGGGGGATGCCGGTAAGGTCCAACTAACACACTCTCACTGGGGCTTCAGGCAGTGGTTCTCTGTCCACCCATTATCATAAGCCCTTATCCGCTAATGGGGTCTAGGGGGGCGGAGCCTATCCCAGTAGCCAATGGGGAGAGGCGGGGTCACCCTGGACGGTCCCCAGTCCATCACAGGGACACACAGAGACACGCAAGGACCAACAACCACACACACTCACACTAAGGGCAGTTTGGAGTCCAACAACCTAACATGCAGGTTTTTGGACGGTGGGAGGAAGCCGGAGAACCCGGAGAGAACCCACAGACACAGGAGAACATGCAGACTCCACCCAGAAAGGTCCCGGTTCCCCCGGGAATCCAACCCAGAACCCTCTGGTCCTGGTTCCCCCGGGACTCCAACCCAGAACCCTCTGGTCCTGGTTCCCCCGGGACTGTGATCATATTTTTAGTTTTCATTGACCACTGGGATAGGCTCCAGTTCCCGATAATAAGTGGTAACGATAATTGATGGATAGATGTTTATCTCTCTTCTATTCTATTCTAATAAAGATTCAAACAGCTTATTAATTGTATCTAAAAGCTGGTGTTTTCATTTAGTAACTCACTTTTGTGTTTCTCTCCTGACATCAGGGGAGATGGTGCGTCAGGCCCGTATTCTGGCTCAAGCCACGTCGGACCTGGTGAACGCCATCAAGATGGATGCGGAGGGAGAGTCCGACTTGGAAAACTCCCGGAAGCTTCTCTCTGCTGCCAAGTTGCTGGCGGATGCCACTGCCAAGATGGTGGAGGCTGCAAAGGTCTCCCGCCTCTCTGTCTTTAATGAGCAATTAGCTGAACTTCCTTTAGTCAGACTGTACTGAAAGGTTAGGGTTTTTATCCTAGGGTGCTGCTGCCAACCCGGACAGTGAGGAGCAGCAGCAGAAGCTGCGAGAGGCTGCCGAAGGTCTGCGCATGGCCACCAACGCCGCTGCCCAGAACGCCATCAAGAAACGGCTGGTCAACAAGCTGGAGGTCAGCACACGGGGGACGAACCCTGTTCTCCACACTACACGTGTTGGGTTCAAACAACCTTAAACATTTGGAAAACTCTGTAAAGAAGTGTTCATTTTTACTCCTACCGCTCTGAGCAAGTCCCGCCCAGCCCTCTCTTTTTATTTCCTTAATCACTCACACAATTTCAGACTCTA